CCCCCCCCCCCCCCACTGTTTTCCCCTTCTGTGTGCCTTGCTGGTCAAGGGTAGAAATGCATGTTACATAACTAACACTGTATTTGATCAGAGTGATTTGTAGAGTTTTGACTGCTAAGGTTTCTTGTCTAAATGCAAACTATAAAATGTTCAAGACAATTACTCTGGCCTTACATGAATTAAAATTTTGATGATAATAATAATAATCTCTCCAAAATCTTTATTCTGATCATTTATTTTCTTGGGTTGTAAAATGGAAATTTGCTTTTATGTTCACTCAATTGGTTCAAATGGAAATGTGCAGCGGACTCTAATTAATGCACAACAGTTGACAAATCTCTCTTTTCCAAAAATATGGTCACTAACATTCAGGTAGGCAGCCACTATCACTTCATTGAGGTGAACCCATATATGATGTTTGATCGACAGAAAGCATATGGAATGAGATTAAATATACCTGCAGGGACAGCAATGAGATTTGAGGTAACAACTTTTTCCTTTTGTTATCTTTTCAAATTCCAAGCATGAGAAGTTACCAGCGTTTCTTATTGATGTTTCTCATTTTTTCTCACACAACTTCTCTTGTTCGTAGAAGCATTTAAGTCCACAATCCCACTAACTAAATTCTTAAATGATGGTGATACACATTATTATTATTATTATTATTAGTATTATTATTATATACTCCCTCTGCCACATAAAAAGGTTTACACATTTGACGTGGCATACATTCAAGATGTATGAATACACAGATATACACACATGCACACACTTTCCTTCTCCTGTTTATTACACAACTGAAAAAGCGCTAATTTGCAAGCCAGGGGACTCAAAGAGCGTAACTCTAGTTAGTATTGGAGGGAAGCAAATAATCAGGGGTGGCAATGGGATTGCTGATGGTCCAGTTGATTATGCCAGAATTACATATGTGATGGAAGCTGTCCATGAAAGAGGCTTTCGCCATCTGGAGGAAATAAATGCAAGGTCTAGCTAATTGGACAGTTTTGTTTTTCTTGCCATACGAGCTAGGCTATTTTACATCCCTTGAGCTTTGGTGTCTGTATCTACAACTACAGACTATGGACAAAAGTATATACCTCAGCTTGATTTTTTTTGGTTGCAGTGAAGGTATCAGCGGAGAAGGATCTGCTTTCTCCTTTACAATGTCTCATGAGGTATATGCTAATATCTATGGACCCACGACTGGAGACAGAGTTCGACTTGGAGATACAGACTTAATTGCTGAAATTGAAAGCGATTTTTCTATTTACGGTGATGAATGTGTATTCGGAGGCGGAAAAGTTCTAAGAGATGGAATGGGACAAGCATGCGGATATCCGGCTGCTGACTGCTTGGATACTATTATAACAAATGCTATAGTAATTGATTATTCAGGAATCTTTAAGGCCGATATTGGAGTTAAAGATGGTTTAATTGTTTCCTTGGGTAAAGCTGGAAATCCAGATATAATGGATGTATCGAATGACATGATAATTGGGGTGAGTATGACAAACTTTTTTTTAAATATCCTTAACGTTCAAAAGTTTTTAGATACTTCCATTATCAGGTGAATACAGAGGTTATTGCGGGTGAAGGGATGATTGTTACCGCAGGAGCAATAGATTGTCACGTTCACTTCATCTGCCCTCAATTGGCATACGAAGCTATATCAAGTGGTTAGAATTTGTGCTATACTTTTGATATTTTTTCATATCTTCTTTGCAGCTATTACAGTAATTATTAGTGTGTGGAGCGGTGGTTGAATTATGTACTCCGTAATTGTGTTTCTTATCAGTTTCACACAATTTGCTATGTACTGATCAATTTGTTACACTTATCTTGTTTGTGACATTCAACTTCCATGGTGTTTTTCCTAAGTCACCATTTCCTGTGATAAGCTTTACATCAAATGCTTCACATCATCATTTCAATTAGCCAGTGCTATTATGTCAACATTTTTACAAAAGCACATGGGCTATAGTTATTTTTTACTATTTACTCTTTGCTGGATTGGTAACCACTTCAGCTCATTGTCAAGTGTTGCCAGTGAGGAAATACCTCTTGTAGAATTCCCAACCTATGAATTAAGACTTCGACTCATGGTTGTATGACTTGTATCATCCGTCATATCCAATAAATTGCTGTTATTCTGTTCTATGCCATTTTTTGCTACACTAATTTCTCTTGCATTATGTTAAAGATGTTGTTTTGATATCTAATTATCTCTCTTTTACTGAATACGGAATTTGCAGGGATCACTACACTTGTAGGCGGTGGGACAGGACCTGCAGATGGAACTCGTGCCACTACATGTACTCCAGCACCAGTTCATATGAAACTAATGTTGCAGTCTACAGATAACCTACCTTTAAACTTTGGTTTCACTGGCAAGGTAGTTTTTTTTAATTCTTCATTACAATTCAGCTATCCGATGTCATTTTATTCACATACAAGTGCACGAAGACTTGATTTACATTAATTGTTGAATAGTGACTTGTTTATCACATTTTTACTTTTACATGTTCTTACACTCACAGGATGCATTTTTCTTGTACTGTCTATTTTGTTTCACATAAATATTTTCATAAAGTGGAACACTGGAACTTATCTACAGGGTAACAGTGCAAAGCAAGATGGACTCCATGAAATAGTTGAGGCTGGTGCGATGGGGCTAAAGCTTCATGAGGACTGGGGAACCACTCCTGCTGCAATAGAAACTTGTTTGGATGTTGCCGAGCAATATGACATTCAGGTAGTTTTTTTATAATAGTAAAAATTGTTGGCAAAACATTTTGATTTTTGAGTTTAAGAAAGTGATTCAATTACACTTATGTAGGTTAATATACACACAGATACGTTGAATGAATCCGGATTTGTGGAGCACACTATTTCTGCTTTCAAAGATAGAACAATTCATGCGTACCACAGGTTTGACTGACATGAACCGACCGTCCCCCCCACTCCACCCACACACAAAATATCTTACATTACTAGAAGATAGAACAATTTGCATAGTTTTTTCGGCCGTCCCTAAATTATCTCCTTTATTTCTGATGAAAGAATTGTGTGGTCCATGTTTTACTTTCATTTCTAAATAAATATCAACCACACAATTTTGTTTTCTTAATAAAAGCTAAAAGTCAAATTTTGAAATAAAAAACAATTGGAGGGAGTATATTTTATAATTTGGTATACTTTCCTATGCATTTGATATCTATACAATAAAAGCTCTGTATTTTATTAAATTTTGTGCCGTTAAGAGTGTCATCACAGCATCTACTAATGCTACATGTTCATTCACTATTGTCGTATTAATCGGGTTTTTTGTATGTGAGTATATGTTTCATTGCCTACAGCGTACAACAAATTTCACATTTTCACATGAAAATACAGTAGCAGACCCCCCCCCCCCACACACACACAAACCTACCCCGCGTATATAAACTCAAAAGTACAGGAAATCAAATGTAGTGCGTTTTGCAAGCGTATTATGTGTCACTACAAGTTAATATTGATAATGTGATAAACTCATGCATATAAATATATGCTATTTATGCAGCGAAGGGGCTGGTGGTGGCCATGCTCCGGATATTATCAAAGTTTGTGGTGTGAAAAATGTAATCCCATCATCAACTAATCCAACACGTCCTTTCACTGTGAATACTGTGGACGAGCATCTTGACATGCTGGTAAGAAATGATTAATGATGGGGTCATAATTATCATGAGATATTCCAGCATTTAAACAAACCCTTAATGCATGCAGATGGTCTGTCATCACCTCGATAAGGACATCAAGGAGGATGTAGCTTTTGCTGAATCACGGATTCGGGCCGAAACAATTGCTGCAGAGGACATTTTGCATGACATGGGAGCAATCAGCATTATTTCTTCTGATTCTCAGGCCATGGGACGAATTGGAGAGGTTTTCATTTGCTTAACTAGCCATCTTTCTGAATCCAGAGAAGATGTTGCTGAGCCATTGGCTGTTTTATTATTCCTTTTTGGGCATAAAACAACCTTCAAAAGAAATGTCTTAGATCATGAGGAACTATAGCATTTTCAAAAGAAAAGTTTTGAAATCATTATTTTTCCAACCCGACTTTTTATTCATCACCATCGTCACCTTTATCACAATATAGTTGGGGCTGGTGATATGGAATTTGTTGCATGACTTTTTTGTTTGTTAAAACTAGAAATTCATGCAAAGAAGAAAAGAAGTCTTGCACGGATGTCCTTGTCTGTCACAATGTAACTTTTTGTTGACTGATTTAAATTCATAGTAGAATTTTTTGGAATGGGGGGTAATTATTCAAATGGAGACGTTACTTACCAGGTGATACAGTCCTAGGAAGCTACTCAGGAACGGAGAAGGAGAGCTTCGAAAGATCTGTAAAATACACAGAAGAACCGAGAGAGATAGAAGGAGAAGGACGAGAGAGATAGAGATTTGGAAAAGTTGTTATTCATTTCTTGATTGATACATTTTTAGAGATAGAGTGGGTATTTATAAGAGCTACTCCAACTAATAACCCTAACAAACCCAACTAACCCTCATTTACACTGTATCATACTACCCCCCTTA